GTGGGCTCGCATTGGCCGTTTCTCCCTACCTACCTTTGATTAAATTAACCAAAGTAATGTTAGAGAACGTTTAGGCAACTCCACAATAATCGTCTGACTTTAACGATATCGTTACTAGAACCGTCAGTGATTGTTAAACATCCCTCCGACGGTATGGAGCGGGACACTTTAGAAATAGCCCTCGGCCAGCACCTTCGTCTCTCGTGCAAAGCCACGGGTATACCGTCACCGAGCTACCAGTGGCATCGCGACAACGTTGAACTGCAGGAGCAGCAAAATTGTCAACTTGACATTGTCGTCAATAGGTAAGAATATTGTCTGAATTTGCGGTGGTGCGGCTCAATTGATTGTCACATGCGTTTCTCACAGTTGCGACCAAGCTGGAGAGTACAAGTGCAAAATCTCGCAAGTCACCATCGATGGAGAGGAAATAATGCCCGCGTTGCTAACGAGATCAGTTTTTGTAAATATATCTCGTGCACCTGTAGTTATGCAGCAGCAGCCGCCTGCCTTCTTAGAGCTCAAGGAAGGTGAGGATTTTATAATTAAATGCATAGCGCATGGTCATCCTGAACCGCATTATCAGTGGTTCAGAGATAACACAAGATTGGAAGACGAAACATCTAATATATTGCACGTAAGTATATGTAATGTTAACGCCGGAAAAGTGGTTGTACTTTGTAACGAAGAAAGAAAAATGACGTTCCAGATAAAACAATTCAGCTCTAGGCACGAAGGAAAATATCATTGCTACATAAGCAATGACGTGAATGAAGTGATCACCCAAAGGAGTCACGTAATGGTAAAAATTACCTATCATACAATTCATTGTTTTACGAGAATTCTGAATAAAGTATCATTGTTGTCGAAACTGTTATGATAATACATATTCGTGTTGATACAGTTAGATCTTCCTCGCGAAAAGGCAGTCGCAAAAATAGCTTTGATCATTGCGAATGACAATTATGAATATCACACGTGTCTGGAGACACCTAAGAATGATGCTGCAAAAATTGGTAACCTGCTGAAGGAGATAGGTTTTAAAGTAATCTGCCTTGTAAATTTGTCGCTTCAACAGACGAAGAATGCTTTAAAGATATTTGGTGAGGCTTTAACGGAGGGAGTTTACGGTAAGTTATTATAAAAATATATTACGTGGAAATATGGTGCGCTTGTTACAATTTTCATCAATGTAGGACTCTTCTACTACGCTGGGCATGGTTTTAAAATGCAGGAAAGTTACATGCTTGCCATCGACGCACCAGAATCTTATTTAAGAAGAGATGCAATATGCGAGAGTGAATTGCTGGCTGTATCATTAAAAAACGATCCTGCTCTCTTAGTAACGATATTGGACATGTGCCAAACTGTACCACCAAAGTAAGGAATTGTACAATTACGTATTCACATATAAATATTCGGAAGATAAAAACGACATTGATAACGCGATCAGTTATCCAAACATATTGTATAAGACAATATTGTTTTTCAGAGAATGTAATCCTGATATTCATAACGAGATACCAAAAGTCGAAGAATATAAGAGTAGGAGAAATTTACGAAATTTGGTACAAGCGTATTCCACATCCAGCCATCGTCCCAGTTATGAAAGAACAACCAGCAAGTACGGATTATATGCGACGCATCTGAGCAAATATATCAGTAAAAATATCCCAGTTACCAAAGTATTCGAAGAAGTGGGAAAATGTAAGGCACGAAAGAATTTTTTCCGAGGGGGAAACCGCTGAGGGCATTGTAGTGTACAGATTTGCGGCATTACCGGGCATTACTAGGGCATTTTTGGGGCATTACGTCTTGCTGAGGCATTATAAAGATAAAATAAGATACAATAAGATAAAAGAAGATAATAAGATAAAGTAATGCCCAGTGGGCATTAGTGGACATTGGTGTACAAGATTTTGGTCAGCGGTTTCCCCCTCGATTTTTTCGTACGTACGCTCCAATATTTTCTAATTGATAACTCATTAATTTATGTTTGCAGCAATAGACAGATTGTTAAAGGGAGCAGAACGTAACCAAATTCCAATGTTTGCCTTAACTATTACCAAACCCTTTCGTCTCACTGATGCGATCTACAAGAGTAAGATAAAATCTCATGTCTTAAAATACACATTAGACATTTTTAGTAATTGAAAGTCTCCCATCATGAGATGGGATCCTAATAAGAGATAGCGAGGTTTCTACTACATTGATAGGCATCATCTGTTGGTTCTACTATGAATTTACTGCTCTTGGAGTGAAATCTGTTTAATAAAAATTCTTTGTTAGATTGTGTAATAGTCGCGCAGAGATTTGTGATTGAATTTGGAAACCTGCTATCTCATATTAGAAGCCTGTCTCATAATCGGGGACTTTTCTCTACATGTTGATATTATATTGTTACAGGAGATCTGTCACCCGCGTTGGATCGTTTAAATAAATTAATAGCTTTCTCAACTAAATCTTTTGAGATAAACTTCAAGCAAGCTGGCCTTTCTGCCAGAGTTGTTATCTCGTTGTTTATGGAGCCTTATTTAAATATTATCAAAATTTCAGTGTGCAATTTAGATGACTTGGAAGTAAGTTTTTATAATTCTGTGCCTACAAAACAGAATAACTTGTTCCAAACTGCAAGTGCCAAGCAAGAATGTTGGATACACAATCCACAAATCTGTCAGGTACTTTAAACGCGTACACTTGATCGTTTGCGCGCACTTAATATTATATTACACAGCATTTTATTTCACAGGGACCTCTGGTTGTGTCAGTCTCAAAAAATGGAACACGTGTTGGCGCAACATTGTTGCACATAAAAAATTATATTCCATTAGTACTGGAGAGTATCAATAGCTAACAAATTATACAGAACATACAAATGTAATTAATATATTTTAATTGAATACAATATGATTTATATATACATTTATGAAACATAGTTTACTGTAAATAACCTACTGCCTTAATATCTTTTTAATCAAAATATAGATAGCTGGTATTTTATTTTCTATAGCGACGACAAATGATCAAATAGGTATACGTGAATTTCATTTCAAACTATTTAAATATCGTATTCAGAGTGCAGTGATTTACAAAAGTCACAATCCATGGGCTGCCGACATTATTTACATATTTACGAATAAATGTATAATTACAGAACAAGTTGGCAGACAACATGGTATTAATTGACAGTTTAGTCAAGTCCTTGTATCTCCCAGCTGGGAAGTAGGTGCACAGTGTTTTAATTTCAATGGAATGCTCCTTATCTGCAAGCATGTTTACATACATGTGTGCCTCGAAATGGTACTGGAGTATGTCGGTTTTAAGAATTCAGTTACCTGCAACCACTATGACATCGCAGAAGAGAAACTGTACAATATCTTCCTTGTTTATCGCAATGAGCGATCTTTGCTCAGGGCTGAGGGTCTCGATCTTTGCCCTCAAAACTTGTATCACGTCTTCTTCAACCAGACCTTCTAAGGAATCGTAGTCTTGATTCGCCAAAGCCTTGGATATTACCGTTACTGCCTGGAAATGCAGAGACACTTGTCAGTATCAAGCAGGTACTGCAGCACGTTTCTAATCGCGAAAAGCCATTCATACGTGTTTGACTCCGGTGTGAACCTCGTGTAAATCAAACTCTCTGTCTATCTGCGGAATAGTCCAAAAGAACTTGAAGAAAAAGCGTAGCGGGAACAAAAAATTGGGTGTATATATATTAGCGCCGTCCACGAGCATAGGCAAGGAGACCTCCGGCTCGGAGTCCGACTTGGTGCTGTAAATTCTGCTGGCCGTGGCACTCAGGGACGAGACGGGCAGGAAATTCGGCTCGCTGCCCTGCCGTGCGATCCTCGTCCGCATTTTGCTCCTATAAGTGACACACGCGGCAGCTCGTCGTAGACCGCACAGCACGCCCCTTCTAATTGTCGGGACCAACATCGCGTCTCGTGCGAGATTGTTGCAAAAATCTCTTGCGGCCGCCAAAATCGCCGAGCACACGCGACGTTTTTCTAACCTATTTTTTCGAAAACATCGGACCGTTTGCGACCGCGATAACGCACCCGGAAATTTATTTAAAATCTTCCACGGCGCATCGCGCTATCGATAACATTGACCGCGCACGTGGACATGTGAACGTTCTTCGCCAAAGAATTGTTTATTATTCAACGGTTGTTTATCTTAAAAAACTTTGTAATTGGCGCCAATCTGCTAACTTATAGCGAATTCGGTTGGTTGCACTAGTGCGCACTGAGTGCGCACTAGGCCTTGTTTCCAGTCAATTGTTATATTTAAAAATCATCTTAAATACCTCTTGCAATATTTCTTACCCAGACAAATGGTCTGTACATACAACGTTTACACAGATCACTTTTTGACTAAATACTCTTTGAACGTGTATTGAAGACAAAGTTAAGCCTAGTGCAGACTGCACGCAGCAAGCAGCAAGCGTCGAGCAGCAGCCAATCAACGAAGAGATATTTTCTACGCCACTGCTGACGCTTCCGCAAAATTCAGCAGTGTTGGATCCTCGCTGCTCGACGCTTG